GAAGCGGCAGGCCTTTGGAGGATCCTGGCCGCCCTCCCCCATTTCCTACGCGCAAGTGTTGTACGCAAAGCAGCTGTAGCACAAGTGCATCTACGAAATTATAGATTTTTCTTTCGCAAATTTTTGTCTCCTATGTTCCTGCTTGAAACCCTTACCTGGAAGAATACACTCTCTTCCTTGAGCTGACCCTTGAATGTGACCGGACCCAATTCGCTGTTGTACCTGGAAGGTAAAAATTAGGATAGACTCTGAAATAACTGATTTTCGACTTACTTCTTCACCATTTGGCCTCTGCCAAGACGGAAGAACCAGTCATGAATAGAATGGAGATCAAATCGACTTCGCTCAACAGTTGTGACATTCTATGTTTGTCAAGGTAAGTTATGTTTTTGATTTTGTGCAGCTTACCCTTCCATGCCTGTCGAAATGCTCAATGGCTTCAACTCTTCCCAAGTCGTCCTTTTTGGCCACAGTTTGCACCATTTGTGTTCGAGCGAGATACTGGAATCAACTGTTATAACGAAAGCCAGCAAAAAAGCCAAGGATTCATGATACCGTCAAAAGCGCCGTTTCGTGAAGCTGCGCATTGAATGCACCAGCCACAAGGATAGCATCGTTTCGGAGACCCTCTTCTTCAAGTCTAAAAGAAAAAAAATCGATACTTTCATGAACTGCTTGATTTTTTCTTTCAATCCACCGAATCTCATTTATCTGCGATTTACCACATCCACAGATCAAGTATATTCCGTTAAACATTAATTTCCTATCAAATTTTTTCATCAGTTTTTTTTTCTGAAAAACTTTGCTCATTCTCTGCGGCTCAACTGTGTATAGCCATAAGTTTCAATAACAATCTATCGCTATAACAGCGGAAAGCATATAATCTAAAAAAAAGGATGGCAACAAAAAAGAACAACATATGACCTGCAGTCAATGTCGGGATATTTTTTCAAATATTTATCAAAAATTTGCCTTATGGCTTCACTACGCCTACTGAATGTGCCATTGTGAAAAAACAACTAGTTTCGCATAAAGACAGGTGATGATGGAGCGGAATGAAATCTTGTGAACAAGTTTTATGGCATTCTCATGATTCAAACTGTTCATCTCTTAAAAAGGAACGAAATCGTTTTGAATGGCGTTCCTGTCTCTTTTTAATTTTTTTTTGCTTTCCATTAACATCTACTATATCATGGATAACAGTGCAGTCATTAGACAGATGATCATAGGAAACAGAACTATACTTCTAAGGAAACCGAAACCGGTTACATAGACATTTTTACTTATGTGTGGTGCAAATGAAGTTGGTAATAGTGATGGAAAGTTATGACAGAAGTTAAGTTGCAAAGACTCTACAGAAAAAAGTTCTCAATAGAATAACAGGTTTTCTACAAGGTTTGGTAGGAGGTGACCTGTGTTATGTAAATCTACTCTGAAACTCAGTGATGATTTTTAATAAAATTTCAAACTATGTGCTCGAAGAAAATGGGCTTAGAAATCAGGAATGCGCAATCGGTAAAATTTCAGAGATGAATATATCAAAAATTCTTAAGATTGAAGAATATGATGGAAGAGTGCGCATAGGGGAAAACTGAACAACAATACTACGTTCACTTTTGCAGGAGACCAAATATCTCGAATTCCATATTATCAGTGAAGATGATAGAAACGATGAAACTTACGCTCTTAAAAGTATTTCGACTTGTTCCTGCCGTTGTTGTGCAGCTTTTGTGACCATAGGATGCTCAACGATCTCGTTCACATCTTCAAACGGAACAGAGTGCAGGTTCACATTCACGAACGTCATCTAGAATTTATAATTCTGCACAGTCACAACTGTGTACAGGGCATTTTTTTGAAATTTTTCGGGTCTGTAACTTAAAAAACTTGTGACATCGTCCAGGATTCACTTAAAGCTGTGAGCAAAAAAGGCAAAAATGTCTACTTTTTTATTTTTCAAAGACTT